GTTCAAAGAGAAGAAGATGGTGGAGGAAAGAATAAAGACAGACCACCTAACAAAAATAATAGGTAATTACAGCCGGTCATCGATTGAAACCTTGCGCACCAGTGCAAATTCACAAGGCTGCTTGAGCCGTTGCACATTATACTATAAAAATAGGGGTAAAAACCAACATTTAGCCTCTCACCTTAAAATATGACAGTTTTAGCTTTTTATCTTACAAAATTGGTAAGTTTTAGCCCATCACCTTATAATAGGACAGTTTTAACCCTTTATCTTACAAAGTTGGTAAGTTTTAACCTCTCACCTTACAAAATTGATAGGTTTTAACTCCTTACCTTATATTATGATATTTTTAACCCCTCACTGATACGAATTAAAGAAAATAACCATCATCTAACATCAAGTTATAACGTTCTGTTAGTTCTGTTAATTGATTATTAACATCCGTTAGTATTCCGTTATAAAAAACATGAAATTTAAATTCAATTTTATTTGTTAGTTCAATTAACGAAATATTAACGGATGCTAATAGTTAACTAACAGAACAGACAGTCAACTAACATAACTAATAGAACATTATAACTTGATATTAAATAAAGACTATTTTCTTTAATTGGTATAGATAAAGGGCTAAAAGTGTCATAATATAAGATAAGAGGTTAAAACCTACTAATTTTGTAAGGTGAGGGGTTAAAATATATCAACTTTGTAAAGTAAAGGACTAAAAAAATCATATTATAAGGTTAAGAGTTAAAACCTATCAATTTTGTAAAGTGAAAAGCTAAAAGTTGATTTTAGCCAAGAATTGAGACTGTATATAAGATAATATTTTATATAATTATTTTTTATAATTTTTATACGTTATTAAAAAATAAATATCTTTGATATTATAATTTTAAATTAAAAAAATTAATTATTTAAATAATATATAAAATTTTATTAAAAATAATATAAAAAAATTATCTTCAAATTTTTTTTAATTAAAAGTATGCGAGTGTCCACGCAAAAATGCCCACACAATCTTATTTATGCAAAGATAAAAAGGCACTGACCCATCACACAAACTACCACATGTCACAAAGAAAAGTAGTTTTTGTATCAGAAATGACATAAGGAATTTGAAGACCTTATCTCGTCGACTCCAGTTTTGGGATCAATTCTCTTACCCTTTCCCCTAATTACCTGTTTGCTTCGTCTTTCAACCGCTTTGCTTTACTCCTCAACTTGTGTTCTCCGTCCCCCAAATTAACTCTTGATTGCCTTTTCTAACTCCTCTACCTGCATCTTCTTCTTCTTTCGTTCTTTCCTTTACATTCTCCGCTTGCTCCTCCACCTCACTCCATTTGTTTCCTCTCCTTCCTTCTTCCCCCTTCTTCTCTTCACCTCTTCTTCCCTTATCCGCCATTGCTTTGTTTCTCACTTCTCACTAATACCGAATTTCTTTTGGTCTCTCTACAGGACCAAATTATCAAAGTCCTATCATTTATACTTAGCTGGTAGGTCCGTTTGTGCATTGTCTTGTTCTTTACTACTGAGCTGGTTATGCACAATGGAAAAGGAAAAGAAAGGGGGTAGGATGATCTTAATCTAGCTAACTACTCTGTCTCCGTTAGGCGTTTCATAAATACTAAATAAATCGAACTCCGCAGCACCAAATGATCAAGTCCTAGGTTATTTATACCTAGTAACTGCTTTCTGCGTTGTCTTGTTTTGACTAGT